AAAAAAAAAAAAAAAAAAAAAAAAAAAGAATGGACCTAGGTACCAGCCCCAAATTCTTCGAGTGAAAGATGATCCGACCACAAGGCTAGGTCAGCTCTGTTTTTCAAGCAAGTCTGAAAGGAGGTACAGGCCCCAAAGGAATCTGTGTTTGAATCCCAGCTTGATACGTTATCCTAGGCCTGGGGAACATCGCTTAACCTCTAGGCACTCTTTGAAAAACTGGGGTATTGCTGTCTTGCTCTGTCTGGAAGAATGACTAGAAAGGTTCTATGGCAGGGTAACCCCCTAGGCTTCCAAGGGAAGCACATTTATCAGGGACGTTTTTTCCCTTGGTACTGGGGACTAAACCCAGGGCCCTTCTACTGAGCTACATCCCCGGTCATTTTCCTTTAATTTTTGTTTACCTTGAGATGAGGTCTCACTAAGTCAGTCAGTTGCCCAGGCTGGGCCAGAAATTGTGATCCTTCTGCCTCAGTGCTGGGCTTACATGTGTCACCACTCATGGCAGAAATCAACGTTTTTTAATTTAAGACAGGGAACTCTTTGCTGATGGCAGCCTTGCATGTAATGAGCAGTTGGTTTAAGATCTCTTGACTTACTGTAACAGCTTTTGTGTCCTGCCACACTCTGACCCTTCCTCCATCCCTTCCTCTGCTGGGTTCTCAAGGTTGATGGGGTCACCCTGACAGTCCCCAATTGTTCTCCCTGGTGCCCTTTCTTTCCTCCACCTCTTAAACACCAAGCAGTGGAACAAGAGCTAAAGTTAGCTTTTTCTCCAAAGATTTTATTATGAAAATCTTCAAATGTAGATTTTAAAAAAAGTTGAAGGGCCGGGGAGACGGCTCAGTAGAGTAAGTGTTTGCCTGGGCAGGCACAATGGCCCGAGTTCAACCCCCATTCCACAAAAAAATAAAAAATAAAATAAAAAATGTTGAAAGAATTGTCCACACAGCTACCACCTAGATCTACAGCTGTCATTTTGGTCTGCTGCTTTATATTGTCATTTTTTTCAAAAATACATTGCAAAATAAGCTGCAGACAGTAAAACACATGGGGCGGGGCTGGAAGCGATGATCTGAGGAGCAGCCCACGCTCTTTGGGAGCTGTGCAGACCCGTGCGTCATGGCAGATTGCAGCTCGGGAGCCACGACCTGTTTTCAGAGCACTTGAGTGGAGCCTTTCTCTGTACCTGTGTGAGATTTGTGCCCCAGGACCAGGATCAAAGGGATGCCTCCAGTTCCTGACCTCCCTCCCAGCGTCCCCTGCCAAAGGGCAAAAAGCATTGAATCACGGTGTACTATTTTGTATCCTGCTTTTCTCTCCTGTCACTCTTGTCTGTCTCTATCTCTGTCTCTCTCTCTTTAGCATTTTATCATTTAAAATATTTCTTTAAAATGCAGTGTTTGGGGGATATGGCTCAGTGGCATAAGCACCTGCC